AAGAGAAAGAGTCTGACCACACTCATGTAAAATGCTGAGACATGGTTAGGTTAAGGGATTCTCATACAGGTCAAAATTCAGATGTTCAGCCTGGTAAATATAAATATTAAAATCAGCCATAAAATAGTTATAAGAAGAATAGAAGAAATAAAATCACAAAAGTGGAACAGAAAACTATTTTGGGTTTAGGAGAGCAATGCAAAAACAGCAAACATCAAGGTTGAGTGGTCCACCGCCCTACCACTTGGAGAACCTTTTTAGCTCTCCTCCGAGCTAAAAAAAAATGTATAGTCGAAGGGGTGTTCCTTGGAAAAAACACTCAAATGACCATTTCTGACCAATTTCTATGTTGAGAAGACAACGTTTATGTTACTTGTTGAGATCAAGTCATTTAGAATAAAGCTTTTGTTTGACAGAACAGAGGGCATTTTGTATTTCCACAAGACTCCAGTGAGTTTACATGTGCAGCAAATGTACTGGTATACCTGCCACATTTAGGTAAATACTGTATCTTCTAAATAGATACATGATTTGCACATCACTATTCCTCTGCATGCCGCAATATCAATAAAAATGTTTCAGTTTCATGCCCTGATTTCTGTTTGTTTTCATTGTCTGTGAGTTGAAAAAAAAACATTCACCAACTTCCTGTTTCATTTAAATGTGTAACCTATTTTGAAACCTTTCAAAAAAATCTGAACATGGCAGAATAGATTTAATAAAGCAGAATGTGATAGTTTTATATCTTGACTTATTTCAAAACACACATTCATTCATGTGTGGGCAGTGAGCTCTTACCGCACTTTAGTTCAGTGATGGTCGCCATCGCAACGAGTGTTCCTATACAACCCACATGAGCGTTTCCAAAAATAGCGCCCCAACAGGTGGCGAGAGACAACTCAGGAAGATAACATGAGAAGACTTAATTTTATGGACATAATTTTTATGGAAGACCACATTATGTACAAGTGTATTTTTACTGTGATTTTTTGGGGGGTTTGGTTTGGGGATTTTTTGAAGGACAACATGGCTGAGCTTTAGAGGTGCATTTGGTTCAGAGTTCTCAAGCACATGGCATTGAAATGATTGACCATATCATAAATATTATTGAAGTGAGCAGAGCATTCAAAAGCATTTGCATGGACAGAGTTTACTTAAAACTAGGAGTAGGCAAGGCACAGTTTACATCAAATACAATAACCTATGATCATAAATAGTCTGTTAAAGAGTAAGAGAAAGAGTCTGACCACACTCATGTAAAATGCTGAGACATGGTTAGGTTAAGGGATTCTCATACAGGTCAAAATTCAGATGTTCAGCCTGGT